CTGAACTGCCTCTTCATTCCTGGCATTGAGTTTGCTGCTATTTCATGGAGTGAACCCCTTCTGACCTGGCTCTGGTCTAACCCCATGGCCAACCCAGCTCTGTTTACTCCTGGAGATAGCTGGGCTGGAATCAAACACCCCAGCTTAACCCTTTGCAGTGGTGTCCCAGTTCCTAGAAATGATTCCTGTGGTTATTTCACCAGCCGCTTCACTTCCAGCGAGAGGGGATGTGGAAATCCACCTGTGGGGTGAATATCTTAAATAAACAGTGCTTGTGCCTTTCCAGCAGGGTTTCCTGGCTGGTGGTGATGCCAGTGGTGGAGCACAGCCACACTGTCCCTGCCTCTGTGCTTCCTGGCTCAGGATTCCTTTCCCTCTTTTCCAGCTTGCTGAAGCATAGCTGTAAAATCAGGCAGAACTGTCAAAAGCACTTCTAAGAATATAATGTAATCAGCAAAACTGGGCTGGAAAACAAAATCCTTTCTCCTTTTTCCTTCACTGAAAGTACATGGGAGCTGCTGTTCTGCCCATCCTCAGCCAGGCACTTAGAAATCAATGTATTTATGAGCAGGTCCTGCTGCTTCTGGGAGTCAGGCTGTGTGTGAGCCAGCAAGGAGCACAGTAGTGCAGCCACAGGCAGAAATGCCAAGAGATGTTTTCCTTCCCCTGCTGGGCCAGAATCTCTCTGTCTCTGAGCTGCATAGCAGAGGATCTAGGTTTTGTCCTGATCCTCAGGGCTTGGTCTCCAGGGACAGCAAAGGAAACTCTGCCTGGTCAGAGGATCCATGCAGCTTTCCAGGCTCTGGCAGACAGCAGGATCCAGCAAACAATACCAACAAAACTTGCACTCCCTTTTCTTACTCCCCACTTAGCCACGAGCTTGCTTGGACCCTTGAGGCTTGCTTCAGAGCCCTAGAGTCAGATGTTTATCCCTGGAGCCTCCAGGCTTTGTTCCAACTGGAGACCCCCAACCACCTCCCAAGTGCTGCCCAGTTACGATCAGCTTAGCCCAACCTCAGGAGCTATCAGGTAGCACTGGTGTGCTGGCTGTGGCCTGCCCACAAATACCTGTATTTCACAAGTGAAGTAGGTTAATTTAAGCCACCACAGCCTGACAGCTCCTTAAAGGTCCTTATAAAGCTGAGATTTACACAATCATCCCACTTGCAGATCATAATGCTCAGTGGACCTTTTAAATAGAGTGGTCTGGCCAAGATGTGGCTGGATCTAGCCCTGCACTCAAAGACCAAAAAACAAAGGGCATGCTGAAGAACCAAAGGGGTTCCCAAAATGATTTTACTGAAATAATTTCAATCTAGATGATGTTTAAAAGATGGCTCCTTTTAAAAAGTAGATACTTCATTTAAGAAGTCAAAGCTCCCAATGAACATGCTCTGACATCTCATAAGGCCTTCACCAAAGCAAAAAGTAGAGGCAGAAAGTTTGTCTGTTAATTGCATAACAAAAGGGACCTGAGTTTAGACTTGTACAGTCAGTTCTGCCACACCTGCAAGCATGTTTATTTAAAACACATCAGTCTTAACTATGAGGACTAGCACAATAAAATACAACACTGTTTGTTGCTTGTTTTTTTCTTGTTGGTAAACTTCAAATACTTGTTTCTGTTCTGGGTGCATAATTTTCCACTGCTTCTGCTGAGTGTCAGAGGGTTTAAGGAGCTTAATCTGCAAAGACACAAACTGGGAACTGATCAGGGAAGAAACCAAAGGAGGCTGAGGAGCACTGAAGGATGGAAAAAGGGTGCCTGACATGCAGCCCTTGTTGTGGAGCAGCAAACCTGAGGTCTGAACAAAAATAAAGCTGCTCTATCCAAATGGAGCAGAGCAAGGAGCTTCTTGGGCTTCCCAGAGTGACCTGCTCTGATCACCTTGGCTGCAGAAGGTTCCCAGCAGGCAGCATGGAGAAGCCACCAAAGGAGCTGCAGGGGATAGAGGAACAAAGCTGAACGCATTTAGTATCTCACCTGGCAAAGCTACATCATTCCCACCAAAGGCGCATGATGTGCAGAAGGCCCAGAAAGAGACTAGTTGTTTTTTCCCTGGTCCCATCACATGCTGTAGGTCAAGATTATAATCCCACACACAACAAAGCTGGTATCTGTTCACTGCCATGGCTGATGTTTTGGAACAATAATTCATGTCTCCCTGGATACAGAGACTAGAATGATTTGGTTTGGATTAGCACCACACAGCCTTGCCCTGAGAACTTCACCATTCTTGATGAGTAAGCCACCACCCTTTGCTACTGAGGTCCTTTGCTTTGCCAGCCCTCTGGGGCAGAATGTAGGATATTTTCCAAGCATCAGTTGTGGAAAAACCATTTCCCTTCCTGGTCCTACGTGGGGCAGGCAATCAGCTCAGCCCTCCTGGGCAAGAAAGCTATTTAAAACACGCTCACCCGAGCTCACCCGACACAGGCACAGACTGCTGCCCTAGTTAGGAGCTCCTCAGTGCAGGACAAATTACATCATGGTAAAGCAACACGAGATACAAGAATGATCAGCATGAATGAAGTGATTTTGACCTCAGCAGTGGGAGGAGCAGCCTCACTTGATACCAGCCCTACACCCTTGTCCCCAGCATGCTAGGGTTCAGCTTGGGGTTTTTTTTTTAAGATGCCCTTTGGTTTTTGTTCTCTGCTGCATTTTCATGTAATGCAGGAGTTTGATACCTGCTCCCAAATGGTATTTTTAGAAAGGTGAACACTAATCATGGATATTTTTATTTTTTTTGCTAGGAAAGGTCAGCTCAGGGGAGGAACAGCACAATCCTGCACTGCTTGGGGCCTGGTCTGGAAGAAAAACAACTCAGGGCAAAAGGAATATGAGGTCATTTCCTCTCTCCTGGGGAGCACCAAAACCATGGAAGATAGCACAGGCCCATATTATCCACACTTAGGAATCTCCATATTGCCAGTATAACAGATTCAGAGGCACTACCACCTCATTGAGAGCAATGCTGCCAAAGAGGTCCCTGGAAGCATCACCCCTCTGGCCAGTGAGCAATTACACATACCAGGAAACTCACCCACACCACACCTGTGCCCACAAAAACCTGAGGGCCTTCTAGTCACAGACCTCAGAGAAGAATGAGGATTGTGTTTTAGCACATGGAAACAGACTTTCCTCAGAACCATGCAGTAAAAAAACACCAGCAAACTACAAGAGGGACACTTCAACTAGTGAAGAAAGCACCCCACAATTTTCCAAGGCTGTCCAAAGTGGGATTAATAATGTCATCTCCACCCTGGGAGATACTCAAAAGCTTTCCTCAACAAGGCTCTGAGCAACCAGGTCTAACTTAAAGCTTGACCCACTTTAGTGCTCCTTGAATAGTAATGGACTAGGCCATGATTTGGAATTTTTCCAGACAGAAGACACTAGTAGGTAAGAGAAAGGACATCCAAGATGTCCTAGGCAAGAACATACTTGGCAAACAGCTTGGCTTGGTATTGTGTTTCAGCCTCACAAGATAAGGACACTGTCAAAGCACTCTCCAAAGGTTCTTCATCCCTCTGGAGAGAAGATACACAGAAAGTAAATTTATAGGGCTGTGCTCCTAGGGAATGGAATGATACAGGTACATCAAACCACACCCTGGTGCTTGCCAGGAAGCTGATGAACAGTTAATGAGATCTTCTCTGGGTCACAGATTCAAAGTCAGAATTAAGAAACAAACAGACTAAATCTGAAATCAGTTTATTGAAAAAAATTCATATAAGAACAGTCAGTAGCAAAATACTCAAGTGTGATACAGCAGCACCATAGAGAAGCATCTTATACATCTCAAGTTGAAGCTGATGCATTTACCAACCACCACCATCTGCACACAGTCAGCCTTCCAGAGACACATGCCACATCCTGTCATGTCAGTAAGTTTCAGTGCAGCACAGGGAGCAGAGTCTGTTTTTACATCAAGCAGGATTAGCTATGACACTGATTTTTCCTGCAAGAGGTATGAAAGGCCCTGCAGGTCTGTTGAGAATGCTGTTTGCAGCCTAAGGCATCACTTCCACCCACTCCAGCTCATTCAAAACACTCTCAGAAAGCCTGTAGCAAAATATTTTGCCAATAAAAGTATTTTAGAAAACCAGTATAAAAAGACTGCTATATATAGCATAAAACTATCAAAGAGGGACTATGCCATTTCCCCTTTACACAAATAGCATTTAAAAAACATAATTACATTAGAAATTTACACAATATATAACATATTGCATCTTTCTGAAATAATTTTGTGCAGCAGAAGACCCATAGAGGACATGGGCAGTTACAAAACAGACCAGTAGCTCTCCTTTAGTTCTGCTGTCACAACAGCAGCTGCCAAGAATCTGGCCATCACAGTTTTAGGATTTAGAAAGTAGAAAGCTGCAAGATGGCAAGCCAAGTGTTTGTAAAGCAGTACTGTCCCTTCCCAAGGAGGAAAAAAAAAAATCACAGGAATTTTTTTCATTAAAATGTATTAGATATTACTTGCTGCTGGTGTCAGTGAGACAGTGCAGTTTTGACTATTTCTATGTCAGTTTATACCTGCCGAGTACCACCTCATGTACTAGAGGGGTACCTGCAGCAGCATCTTTCAGTGGTTTTTGGTCTAATAAGAAAATTCAGCTGAGCCACAGGAGCAAATAAAACCATGTCAGCTTGCTTTGTTTCACAAGCACTGTAAGGCACTAACAGCCACAGGGTTATCAGCCTGCTGTCTGCAAATAATTGATTGTTCCCCATTCAGTTTTCAGCAGCCTGGAAGGTGGTGTGTAGAAGAGCAATCACTGCCTCTCCCCTCTTTTTTCCAGGCACAAGACTCAAAGCCCCAGCAGCTTCCATGCACATCTATGCACGAAAGGAACTAAACTCCCAGGTACTGCTCTGTGTGGAACCCACTCTGTACTCGGTGACTTAACCTTCCCAAATAACTCAGCAAGACCTTAGTAACTCTTTGCATAACCTTGCAGGATACCAGGAGTGGGCTTTACATTTGAGGATGTAAAAATCTGATGACTTGCTTCTAAGAAAACAGCAGTAACCCCTTCAGACACAGGTAGCACAGGGACTTTTTTGTTAGGGGGGATTTTTGTTGGCTTTCTTTAACAGAGAGCTGGCAGCAGCCAGAGCCCCTCCCTGTACAAAACGCACAAAGTTATCTCCAGCTAGAGGTCCTAGAGCATAGAGCCCTTTCTCCTGAGTGCATTCATAGGTGAATGGGTCAACATCTATGGGATTCCTCTTTGGATTGACTGGTTGGCCACTGTCCATTGCCAAGTCCATGCCATTATTTGGCAGGAAGGAGAGGTTGGGGTTTGAGCCAGTTAGAACAAGAGCCATGGAAACTTTATAAACTTTCTGGTAGCCATCCTTGTCCTGAAAGATACATTTCTTGTCCTTGCCAAAGGACAGCACATGATGCTCAGGGAGGCTGATATAACACTCATAAGGCCCAGCACAAGCAGCTGACTGTTCTTTCATCATCTGATGGACTTTGTGGTACTCGGGGTACATCATTTTGGGGAGCTGGTTAAAAATTAGACCTGGATCACTGACCCGTCTCCGAAAGACATGGATTACTGGAATATTGCAATGGTGAGCAAAGAGAATGGCATCAGCAGCTGTCAGACCAGCACCTACAATCAAGACTGGATCTGACATGAAGCCAATGCTGTTGTTCTTCACTGCTTCCTCCAGGGCAGACAGCTTGTGATGGACATAAGAAAGGTTCTCACCCTTGACCCCAAGCCAAGTAGGACTATCATACGTGCCTGTAGCTAAGACCACATTCTCTGCACAGATAGAGAAGTGCTCTTTATCACCTTTCAGAGTTTTGAAAAATCCATCCACCTGAAAGACCTCCATACTTTTCTCATTGAAGTTCCAGAATGAGTTACTGTTTTCCTGCAGATCTTTCTGTGCATGGTGTGAGATGTTCTCTGCACTCACTTTCCTCACAGAGGTCACAACAGTACCACATCTGAAATTCTTCTGCAGTCCTTTCTTCATCACATAGTGTTGGTAATATTGAGCAATGTCTTCTGCTGTGGCTCTATTGTTTCTGAGGCCTCTGTAATGTAGTACAAACAAAGGTCAAGCAGCAGTTAAGCAAGAGACTGGAATTTCTACCCTCTTGCACCAAATGTATCCTAGAGCCATCTATCCTGGCACTACCAAAGAAGACTTTGCTAGTTTCCCTGACTTCAGCAAAGTTATTCCTGGTATATAGGGCTAGCACTCAGGTCCACAAGCAGCTGTTGGATAGAGGCAGCTTTCTTTAGCATTAATTCCATCCCTAGGAACAGGGTTGCTCATTTATTGCCTCATTTATGTGCCTCTCACATCTTGCTTCTGCTCCATATTTAAGTCCTGGACATTTTAAGATTAACTGTTAGACATCTGAAGTGCAGAAGCACCTCAAAGACTGCAGTGTAGCTGACCTGATTATACTTGTCACTAGGGACAGCAGCAGGAGTCACAAGTCAGATGACCATGCCTTTTCCAAGCTTTATTCAGAACTCAGTCATTGTGATCCATCTCCCCAGTGGGTGTTGAGAAGGACACATTCCAAGCAGCATTGCAACTTTCCCTAAGCCCATTCTGTATTCAGTTACTTCTACTGGGGAGTAGGAGAGTGTCCTTTCTCTCACTAGAATCATCTGTAACAGATAGGTCACTACATTCAGCAAGTCCACTCCAGGCTCCCAAATAACCTCTGGATGTTTGCAAATAATCACATCATAGATATCTTACCTTCTCTTTTGCTTTAGCCAGTCCTTGAATGGGAGGTCTGGAAGTCCCATCCATTCACCTCTGCTCAGGCTAATCACAGAGCCCTCAATAGACTGGAACAAGAAACAGTAAAAGGACTTTCAGTTGTTTCATGTAAGAAGTGAAAAGTGATTTCATCATATTTCAATATAGCCCAGATCTTCATGATCTCATGATTTCAAATCTGTGATTCCCTCTGATCCACTGTCATGGATGAAACCATCCATGTTGTGCAAAAAGACTGCAAACGTCTCTCGTGCTTTTTGTCCTTTTTTTATACATATAGGAAAGCAAAAGTTTAAAACCAGAGGAGCTTTTGTCTCTCCAGTCAACACATCTGGCTGTCTCACAACATGCAGACCTAAGCAGTTAAGCTTCAGTTCACCTACATGCCAGGCACCTCCAGGAGCATTCTTGCCAAGGACCAGGTGGGGGACAGCTCTGTCAGCCTCATGCCACCATGAAAGGACAGATTCTGCTGTTCCACCAAAGTCTGTGTCTGGACGCTGAAGAGTATCAAACAGCAGAGCCACAGGGCTGTCGGATCGTCCCTCCAAGCCTTCAGACAGATAATCCAAATCCTAAGGAGAGACAAATCAGATGCTGCAAATTCATGTCCTGCCAGACAGCAGAGTGCTTTTTACTCCAGTACTTCCCACCAGTGGTTTTGGTGTTCTGTGAAGCTCATTTACTGGCCCACAGACCCTGCTACTGCCCAAGAACTGCCTCTCAAGGATCTTGGCAGCAATGCTGGCACTCACACAAGGGAGATCTAAACAACCAAAAGTACTTGGCTAAGGCTCATTCTGTCTGCACACTTTGAAAATTCAAATGAGGTTTTCACTTGTAATACACCTCTAGGATGCTTTACTATGATGTTATACTGTTTCTCTTTATACAAACCTGGTCCAAAATAGAGACATCTGGTGACTCCTCTAGTTTCCTCTGAAGAATGGGATGAGGATGAAAAGAGCCTCTTTTGAAGTAAGGGATATAGCCTGACAGCAAGTATGAGAGACAGATTCCTGAAGGTCCATTCCCTAAAAAGACACAAGGGAGAAGTTAAGCTCATGCAAAAAGGGCAGCCCTTTGGCAAGGGTTTCATATCCAGAGCAATTTAAAGAATAAAATACTCCTGCAGACACAGGGGACCTTATATTCCAGGATGACTACTGACCTATTAGATGGAGTTGGGGAAGCAGTTTTACCCCCTTATGCCCCCTTCTCCTCCTCAGTTGCATCTATTTGCATTGCAAGGCCTTCAGAACTTGCTGAAAAGCCACTGACTTAACAAGCCAAAAGTTAACTTCACCTGAAGCTTGAAGTCCAACATGAAGATTAATTAAGTTATTGCTCATTAACTTCTTTGCAGGTTGAGGAATTGGTCACACACCAACCAGGGGCCTCAGCTCTCCTGAATGCACATTTCACACCAGTGCAGAGTAGTTCATTGTGCACAGAATACAAAGCAAATCCAGGAAAAGAGTAACTACTGAAGCAAAGGGGAAGCAGCTCTGCTTACTAAATTGCATCTAATGAGGGATATTCAACAGCAGTTTTAGCTAACAGGTCTTGAGGACACTTTCAAATGGGATGCCCTACCATGGCAACACAGGCTGTGTATGAAGGAAAAAAGTCTCTGCCATGCCAAGATACCCTCCCAGAATACAGCACCTTGAAGGGATTGCTGGGTGACTGTACTCCTGGCTGACCACCCAGCAGCCAGTGGAAAAACTACATGTGACTTCAAAGCCCAGCAAGAGTAGCCCACAAAGTTTTCACATGGCTGTTCTCCAGCATGTTTAATATTTTACAGTGCCTGCATCACTAGGTGTCAGCCTCCCTGGATGCTCAGGCTTTGGTGCTCACCAGTATGTGACCAACCATCATAACAAAGTGCAGGGATGATGCAGGGAGGGGAGCAGCAGTGACACAGTAGGCTGTGTTGACACAGTGCCCATGCTGTGTGAGTGACTGCAGCAAAGGCTGCTGCTCCCTGGGGATTTGGGACAGAGGGAGCCTGGCTGTAAAGATAACAGCAAGCTGAGCTCTGTGAAGGGCAGGACATGCCACAGCTGGGATCAAAGTCTGCTGTGCTGGGCAAGGATCAGCAGCAGGTCACTGTTTGGAATATTCCACTTGCAGGCAAGTTATCTAAAACTAACAGCAACAGAAGTGAAAAGCAAACTAAATTGCAGCTATAGAAAAGTGCAACACCTTTCAGCTTATTCTTTTGCTTTATGAAATACAAGGAGGTACCTACACCAAACTTATTTGAGTACATAATACTCAAGAGGACTTACTCTGAACCACACTGAAGTTTGATACGCATGGCTACAAGCACAGCTGCCTCTGGGGCTCAGACTATTCTAGAAAGCAACTGCTTTCCTCAGGCTGCCAGCAGAGGAGTCCACAGCCTTCTCAGCAGGGCCCAGGGAAATAGCCAAAACCTGTGAGGAGCACCCAGCTGCAGTGAAACAGCTGAGCTGCTTCAGTTCCACAGCCCCCTTGGAGTGCACATCTTCACTCTGGTGCTTCTGAGGCTTTAGTGATACATGCACATTGGGTCCCTGTGTAAATGCCCTGGGGGTGCACCAAGATATCCTCCCTTGCACCTAAAGACTCGGACAACTGGGCAGTACAAAGTCACTCTCAGATTAGAACCTGCTGGCAGTGGTGTCCTTGTCATACTTGCTGTTAGCAAGGATGAAGTGTAATTTATGTGGTGCACTAACTTTGGACTAGCTCTCTTGGGGGCTATAAATTAGATGACAGATCAGGAAAGAACCCAGCTCTACAAGGCACTGAAACACGTGCCAAGATTAGCAGAGTCCAACACTAGCATTTGAGCGCAGCTCATGGTCAGAGGGGAAGACACTGACACTATCACTTGGGCATTGCTCCAAGAATCACCCCACCCCCTCTTGCAAGGGAGACAAGACAGTTCCTAGACAACCTATTTCCTAAACTGGTAGAAAACAGTTCTTTGTCATTCCATTAAATCTGTATAAAATCATTGTGGCTGACTTGTTTTAAAATTTCTCAGTTTTTCATACTACTTTTAACACCTTACAAAGCACTTTCTAAACACACAATGGGGGGAAAAAAAGGCACAAACCCACCTCCAATTCAAGCACTACAGACAATTACAGCAAGTTAATTCACTACCTGTAGAGAAAAGGTTTCAAATCCTTCTAAATATGCAACAGAAAAACCAGGTGCAACTGAACCAATGCCCAAAACGTCAGCAGTTGTTTTTATTAGAGAAGAGGCATATGGTTCAGTTTGTTGAATACCCATTTCCCTACTTTTCAAAATTCTTAGCAGTCTCTTAGTACTAGAGAAAGCTTGGCTGTCAGGGAAATTGACAGTGAGCAGGCATTCCT